CGAATTTTTTTTAAGCTTTATTCTGACCGATTCACCCGATTCCCGATCCGGATCCCCGATTCGCCGATCCGGATCCCCGATTCGCCGATCCGGATCGGTTTTTTGGAAGCCCGATCCGGGTCACCGATCCGTTTTTTAAACCATTGGATATAATAATCATGTCTAATTAAATGACTGGTTTTTTAGCGTATATTGCGTAAACTTCTATGTTACACTGCTAGATATAATTCCATTGTCATATGTTAGTGCAGCAGCAGGCGCATTCCCATTAATTCAGTAGTCAGCACTCTAAATGAACTTTTGAGTGTAGATAGCCTCCTAATGATTTTTATTTATTTATTTTTTATTTTTTGTGGTTTTGCACTTTTCTGTTTCACGCCTGCCTCAAATGATCTCCATAGAGCTGTTTTCTGTTGCTTACTGCAGTTCACTGTGGCCCTTGCAGGGATTAGTCGATGATTGGATCTGAACTTGTGGTAACACCAAGGCCCCATGCCTGTGCCCATCATGTATTTTCAGAACTTCCATGATCTCATCTGGAGAAATGTAGGGACATATTGTGGCTGCAGCAAAGAATTACAGCACAAGTATGCCAGTTATTGAATGTTAATGCTATATGTACGCCACTGGCGTTATAATACTATATGGGTTCCACTGGCTTAATAAGTTCTGTTTCTCATGGCCTTATGACAATCTGAGATGTACTCCAGTCACTAGCTGAGAGCGATTTGACTTGGTTGTTTCTTATAAACATGCCGTTCTGTGGAATTTTTAGATGGCCTAGATAATTTGTAGTATAAGACATTAAGACGAGAAGGTTGTATCACAATGACTTCTTTGTGGTTTTATTTAACCTTGTCTCATCCTTGTCCAAGCATTTTGTTGGTTAAGCCATGGCGGGATAAAAGTTATTTAATCTTCATCCATGACATTTGTTATTTTGTTTTGTGAAAATTGTTAAATATGTTATGAATTTGTATTCTTTTGTGACGGCAATCATTGTGGAGTACGTGACATTAATTACCCTAGAGGGAAGAATAATCTATTTTTGATGCTCAACTTTCATGAACTTTCTCTTTTGATTAAACGTTTAAGCGGTCATTTAGTCCTCTATGCAATGTCCCTTGGTGAATATGTTTACATAAGATAGAAGAAACAGAAAGAAGGACAAGTCTGGTACCAAATGTTGGTGAGACTCACGCAAAACTCTATCTTCAAAACTCACGCCAACTTGTCTTTCCTTTCTTAGTCTAGTGTTACCTTGGCTGCCATGACTTTGCACATATTGTGTGTGCAACGTAAAATGTAGAAACTTGTTCACTTTCTTATGTGATGGATTTTTTTATTCTTAATAGTTATAAAGTTAAGCCCATCGCCCTAGAGTTACCCTGACTCTAGGGCGCCTCGACACTTTGAAGTCCCTGATCCCTTTGCTAGTCAACATTCCCATTTTCCCCACTGCCAACAACTCAGCCCTGCTCCAACGACTTTAGTGTGTCCCATCTCTCGACATCCTTTAGGGTTCCCGAACCATCTGTATCCTTCACCTAACAACAAGTCTTTAAAGCTCCCCATCTCACCATAAAGTCCGTGCATCACAAAACCCTAATGCATGCTGCTGCAAGTCATCCTTTTGTCCGCAAGCATCACTGATCCCTCCCCCAAGCCCTCTGCATAGGTAACTATGAACAGTGTTTCAAAAAGCGCTAGGCGGCACCTAAGGGGGGGGGGGGGTTCCAAGCTGGCTAGGTAGGCGCCCAGGCTGGCTAGGTAGGCACCCAGGCGGGCGCCTAGAACCTGGGTGGCCCAGTAAAAAAATATTTGTTTTGGGGTTTCCTCTCTCTAAGATAGCCTCTAATGGATTTTAGATTTCAAATGAACCTAAAACCCACAATTTTTCCCTTTAGTATTAAAAAAATGACCCAAAAATACACTTAAGGAGCTACATTTCTGCCCCTAGGCAGGGCGCCTAGGCGGGTTCCCGGATGCCTAAGCGGGCACCTAGGGATATCCGCTTAGTTTGACCGCATCGCCCAGGCCTTCTAGACCGCCTCAGCGGCCTCCCAGGCGCTAGGCGTCGCTTTTTAAAACATTGAGTATGAAAGATTAGTGCTCTGGATGTAGAACCCCGTTCTTCAGAGGGTTACTCATCACCAGTTGTGGTCTCCTATTGCATGGCCAACTCCAGTGCATCCATAAATCTAAAGGTAACATAGATCAGATATTGTATATTATGGGGCTTCTTCTATGAAGCAGGATGGGTGGCAGAGGAGTGAGAGAGCTCAAAAGCCTCTCCAGTTCTATTAACTATGATATATCTAGGGAACGCTCTTCACTTTCTCTTCTCCTATCCATGTTCATTGTGCCTTGGGGGAGCAGTATGCATGCAGATGTTTCCAGATATATCTCCCTTCCTGTACATAATCTAATGAAGATACTTATTAAGGAATGTTTGGCCTCAAGGCCAACCTCCACAAGTTTTCTCACAAGTTCTCCCCCTGGATACTGGCCATTTTGGAATTGGGTTCTCCTGACCTGAAATAAGCTCTACATGTCTTGAGAAGACCGTGTCAGTGGAAAGTGCCTCAGAGGGGCCTTCCAGTGGGATTTGATTTTTATGGTACCCTATTTGTTTCTCCAAATTTTTGGCCCAGGTGGGCTAGTCTTCTGTCTCTGATATTCTTTTTGGAGGTACATATGGGTGGCTGGACGTTTATAGCTGTTTGTGGTTCTAACACCCCTAACATGATTGAAGCTTTATGATCAGATTTAGATGAGATAGCTTCTAGGTCCTTTTGAAGAGAAGGGGGCGTGGAGATGTGCTTCACTGGATGTTCTAGTAAAATACGAGCAATAGTATCATGGGCAGCATTCTCAAAATCTGTTTTAGGAATCATAAGGTTGATCTTACTCTCAATGGTGCTTCTCTATCGTGGTCTAACCATGAGTCCCCCACCTTAACAAAATTAGACCACTTCCTTGTGTTTCCTGATTGGGTAGAGAAGTTCCCAGGAGCGCACTCTCGAGCCCCTACCTAAGCCTGTTTCTGATGTACACCGTAATTCTGGAGACTGTTGCAATTTAGAGTGGGCAAATGCCATTTAGATTTGCGATATTGTGGCTGGAAGATCATGATCTTCACAAATTGATCTTTTCAATGGTTGGTTGACTTTCATCATAGAAGCGTGGGCAGTCTTTAGTCTTTGCAGAAAGTTACAATTACTTGAGTAATCTCTCAAAACCAGAGCAGACAGCAGTTTGGAGACTTCAGCTTCCCTCCTCTACAAGATCAGCAAGCTCAATCTTATCGAGGAGTCAATAGTGCATAGTTTGCAAGAGAGAACCGGGGAAGCCGAGGCCAAGGTCGACCTCAAACAAGAGGAGATTTTTGGTGCCAAAGGTCCAGCACTAAGTGGCTCAGGGAAGGCGACCAGAACATAACCGTTTCCATAGGATGGGATATTGTAGGAGAAGAGCCAAAATGTTAATGCATGTTACCAATGGTTATAGCCTCTATGAGCACTCCACTGAAGTTAACTCAGATATTACAAGTTACGTCCAAAGATTGTTTTCCAAACGGTCTAATGTGGGGGCTATGAACATGAATCTTGCTTTCAAGACTATCCTCAATGAGATGGCACACTGGTTAGAGGCTTAGAGCAGCCATTCTAATAGGAAATTGGAAAGGCTGTCTCTGATCTAGGACAAGGTAAGGTGCCTGGCCTGATGGGTTCCCACGTCCCAATAGCTTTATTCGACCAATTTGGGATACGTTAGCTCCTTTTGTAATGGCCATGCTCTTAGAATTCTATAACAGGGTGTATTCACGAGGGCATGAACTCTACTTTCCTCGTCCTAGTTCCAAAAGTTTGAAGGGTCTGAGGAACTTATTGACTTTGGGCCACTATGTGTTCTGGACAGCTCCTACAAGATATTTTCGAAAGCACCAACAGTCTTTGGCATGTGTAGGTTATGTTGTGTCCCTGATGCAGGGAGCGTTCATCAAAGATAGTCAAATACTGGATGCCATCTTGATGCCGTATGAGGCTATCCACACTCGCCATCTATCCAAATACCTGAGCCTTGTCTTTAACTTTGATTAGGAGAAGTCCTACACCATACTGATTGGGTATCTTAGATCAGGTGCTTGGGCTTATGGGATTTGGAAGCTGGTTTGGATTTGAGGGTGTCTGCTCCCCCAACTTCTTGGTGCTCAGCAACAGCTGTTCACATGGGCAGTCCTGTTGTCAATAGGGCCCCGTACTTTTGGCAGTTCTTGAAGAGATGTTCCGCTACTCCACCTCCAACCTTCACAATCTAAACTTCTTCAATGTCTTTTCTTCATCCATTAAGGGTCTGATCATCAGCCATTTACAATACCCTGCTGATGATACATTGGTGTTTTGTGATGCAAATGACAACCTTTGGCTGTTACTAATATGCTTCAAAATTGTGATTAGGCTCACGATTAATCTAGCAAAGACAAAGACAATGCATGTTTGCATGAACCTTAATGATGAACAGGTGTTGGGCAGTCTCCTTGGCTGTGGGATTTAGTCCCTGCCAAGTAAGTGCCTTGACCTCCTCTTGAGCCATGGAAAACCTAGAAAGGCACAAGTGGATGGAGTGATTGAAAAATTCTAGAGAAGGCTCAACTGCATGGAAAGATGGATATTTCACTTGGGAGGAGCATAACAGTTATCAGAGCTACCCTGTCCAATACCCTGATATTTTACTTCTCTTTTCATGATGACCATCTTGGTTCGGGAGAGACTTGAGCTCGTGGTGAGAGACTTCCTATGGTCGGGCTCCAGAGGGAATCATAAGTTCCACAGGATGAGTTGGGATTTGTGAATCAGAGAGAGTGGACCAGGCACTCGCAGGCTCAAGGAGTGCAATTCTGCCCCACGTGGCAACTGGTAATCGAGATTTGCAACCTAAAATGGCCACCTTTTGAAGCAAGTTGTTTTAGCACAATATGGCCTAGATGAAAGTGGTGACTCTATAGGAGTCATGTAGTTCTCACGCGTCGGGGGCATGGAAGAGCATTATCTCTGTGCACGGTGACTTCATTAGGCATATCTGCTCCATAGCAAAAACAAGGACAGAATTTGACTGTGGAAAGACCTTTGGCTGGGGGATTGTACCCTTAATTATTTCCCTGCCTTTTTGCCTTAGCTGTTGAACAGAATGATCTGAGTTCACAATCACTTAGATGACCTTGGAGGACATTTGAGTTTAGGAGAAATTCTTAGGGGCCAGGAGGTCCCTGATTTGGTGGCTCTTTCGGATATCCTAAGAAAACAGTTCAGTCCTCGGTGGATTTCTACAAGCTAAGATGAACCTCAACCTCGTCATATACTTTCTCTGTCTCGTTGATGGATTCAGTATCCACATCCACTGGAAGCAGGCCTCTCTTTACTAGTAAGGCTTAGCCTATCCCAGTCTCCGCAAAGGTTCAAGGCTTCAATTGGCTGGTTATCTCTGAGAAAGCACTCACCTGACCAACTACATTCCCTTACCCAATTGAAGTATGATCTGCAAGGAGGCAGGGGAATCAATAGACCACCTGGGCGTTCTTTGTTCAGTGGCAGTACAAGAGCGGGCTTTCATTCTTAGTGTACTTCAGTGGGAATTGGTTTAAGGCAGCTGCTCTCAACTTGCTTTCAACCCCCATTCCCAGCAGTGGTGATAGATATTCCTTTGGAGGGCGACTTTGATGACTACTATTTGGTATGTGTGGAATGAACAAAACTCTAGGATTTTTTACTTTAAAGCAAAGGGGTAGCTGCATTGAAGTTAAGATTAGCTCCTTGAAGGGTTATGCCACTTCAACCTTTCTTGGGGCCCTACTTTGATCGTGGAAGGGGCCTTGAATAATGTCATAGCCTGGGATTCTAGGACCTCCTTGTGTCCTTGGCGAAATTACATTTTCGAGGAGATCTTTCATCTCACTAGAGAGCTACAAGTAGTTTGGTG